CAGTTACAAAATTCATTAATGGCTTACGACCTGAGGTTAAGAGAGAGCTTAACTTACACTCTCCTGAAACGGTTGAGGAAGCATATTATAAAGTCTTAGAGATTGAATAATACCTTAGGCCACCCTTTCAGCGTCGAATGCCTTCTCAAACCGGAGAATCTCAACCATCAAGGTCAGTCCTATTTTATCGGTCTCGAGGCGTCACCCAGTCAGGCCCTGTCACATCCAGGGGTAACAATTACCCCAACTTGAGAGGTAATACCACTAGGGGTCGAGATTCTACACTCACAGGTTCTCGCTAGGACAGTTCTTCCATAGAGTGTCACTGTTATCATGGACAGGGTCATATTGCTTCACAGTGCCCTCAGCATACCTTGACCATTGACTAGGGATTAGAGAATTCACTTGATAGAGAGGATGTTGATCTAGAAGTTGATCCTTTGGATGAGGAACCCTTAGAGTTACTAGATGAGGGTGAGGAAGAGTGGTAAACCGATGACACCCGTGTTAGTGTGATGTGATATATCTTATCCACCCCTTCAGACACAGCAGCATGGAAACGCACCAGCATTTTTCATACTCTAGTCCGATATGGGGGTCAAGTTTGCAAGGTCGTCATTGATGGGGGAAGTTCATTGAATGTCATCTCTAAATCAACTGTAGCTTAATTGCAGCTTAAGTAAGAGACACACCCACAACCTTACAAAGTCGCATGGGTTGACGAGACCTACTTACCAGTTTCACATAGATATTTGGTCCCTATTCAGATGAGTGACTATTCAGATCATATATGGTGTGATATCTTACCTATGGATATCGTTCATGTCTTGTTGGGTCGCCTGTGACTTTTTGATCTAGATGTGACAAACTATGGGAGGAAAAATACCTATGTTTTTAAGCATAAGGGGAAAACCATTAAGTTAAAACCTGCGAAACCCTCATAAAGTAATACTTCAAAACATAGGTCATCTTCCCCAGTAATTCACAAGAAAGACCTTCACATCTTGACCCATAGAGAATTTGAGAAAGAGAGAAAAGAGTCTGGTATAATGGTAGCTCTAGTTGTCAAAGAAGTTGTTCAAAGTCCTCTGAAATCTAAAGACGATCTTTTGCCTGAGATTGATAGTCTATTGAGAAAGTTCCATGATGTGATTCCTGAGGAACTACCCGATGAGTTGTCACCAATGAGAGATGTTCAGCATGCTATTGACTTAGTTCCAGGATCTCAGTTTCCTAATCTTCTCCATTATTGTATGAATCCCACTAAGCGTGCTAAACTCCAAAGACAAGTAGATGGACTGTTGCAAAAAGGGTCTGTTCGTCATAGTCTTAGTCCATGTGTTGTCCTTGCTTTGTTGACCCCTAAGAAAGATGGCTCTTGGAGAATGTGTGTTAATAGCCGTGTTATTAACAAAATTATAGTCAAGTATCAATTTCCTATACCGAGACTTGAAGATATGCTTGACCTTTTGGCTGGTGCACTTTGATTCTCTAAAATTGATTTGCGCAGTGGTTATCATCAAATCCAAATTAGACCAGGAGATGAATGAAAAATCGCATTTAAAACCCAGGATGGACTTTATGAGTGGTTGGTTATGCCTTTTGGATTGTCTAATGCACCTAGCACGTTTATAAGGGTTATGACTCAGATACTGCGTCCTTTCCTAGGAAAATTTGTGGTTGTTTACTTTGATGACATCTTGATCTATAGTAAGTCTTAAGAAGAGCATTTGGATCATCTTCGATAGATTTTGCAGACATTATGTGTGGAAAAATTCTATGCAAACCTTAAGAAGTGCTCCTTTATGCAAACTCAAGTGCTTTTCCTTGGATTTGTTATTTTTGCGCATTGTATTGCAGCTAACCCAAAGAAAATTCGTGCTATTAGGGATTGGCCAATGCTAAGTACAATTTCTGAGATTCGAAGTTTTCATGGTTTGGTCACCTTCTATAGACGATTTATTAAAGGGTTTAGTTCCATTATGGCTCCCATCACAGAGTGCATGAAAAAATGGGAGTTTCAATGGACACTTGTTGCAACTAGAGCCTTTCAAGAAATTAAGCACAGGATGACAGAGGCACCCGTTCTTCGACACCTAAATTTTTCTAAGGTGTTTGAGGTTGCCTGTGATGCATCTGGTGTAGGGATAGGTGGAGTTTTGAGTCAAAAGAGTCATCATATTGCTTACTTCAGCGAAAAACTCAATGCAGCTAAACAACGATGTGGTACAAGCTCTTCGCAATTTGAGGTATTATCTATTGCCATCTAAGTTTGTGTTATATTCTGATCATCAGGTATTAAAATACCTTCATTCTCAGAGAAAATTGAGTGTTATGCACGTTAGGTGGATTGAGTTCCTTCAGGAGTATACTTTTGTTCTTCACCACCGAGCGGGCATTGAAAATAAGCCTGCGGATGCTCTTAGCCGTGTAGTTACTATTTTATAGACTATGAGTGTCTATGTGATTGGCTTTGACAGGATTAGAGATGAGTATGCCTCTTGTCCTGACTTTGGTATCATTTTTCAGGAGGTTCAGTCTGATAACCGTCATGAGTACATTGACTTCCTTTTTAGAGATAGTTACTTGTTTAGAGGGTCGTGCTTATGTATTCCTCGTACTTCACTTAGGGATTTCCTGATTTGTGAATTACATGCAGGAAGTTTGGCAGGCCACTTTGGTAGGGATAAGACATTTGCACTTGTTAAGGATAGGTTTTATTGGCCCACTTTGAGGCGTGACATTATTAGGATAGTGTCACAGTGTCGCACTTGTCAGTTAGCAAAGGCTAGGAAACAAAAGACAGGGTTGTACACACCATTACCAGTTCCACACACACCGTGGAGAGACCTTAGTATGGACTTTGTCTTAGGATTACCTAAAACAACCCATAATATGATGTCATTCTAGTTGTCGTGGATAGGTTTTCTAAGATGACACATTTCATTCTTTGCACTAAGTCTACTGATGCCTCACATGTAGCAAAATTATTTTTTAGAGAGGTCGTCCGACTACATGAGTTGCTTATTTCCATTGTGTCTAATAGGGATGTCAAGTTTGTGAGTTATTTTTGAAAGACACTTTGGAACTAGTCTTAAGTTTTCCTACTGATGGTCAATCGTAGTTTAGGAGATTTGCTTAGGTGTCTAGTGGGTGAAAAGATGGGAAATTGGGATTTGTTGTTGCCTACTGCTGAATTTGCCTATAATAACTCCGTCAACAGGTCGACTGATCTATCATCTTTTGAGATTGTTTATGGCCATTCCCCTAGACAGCCCATTGATTTATTACCTTTACCTCCTGATTCCCACCCCTCATTCTCAGCCAAAGCTTTTGCCTAGCATATTCATGACTTGCATGCCGATATAAGACAGAAAATTACATTAAGTAATGAGAATTATAAATTGGCTACAAATGTTCATCTTAGGAATAAAGAATTTATTGTGGGAGACTATGTCATGGTTCGTGTGCGTCCTGAACGTTACTCTAAAAATTCTTTCAAAAAGTTACTTGCTCGAGCCACTGGCCCTTTTCGTATTTTTCGTAAGCTTGGACCTAATGCATATTACATTGACTTACCTTCAAATATGAGTATTAGTCCTATTTTCAATATGGAGGACTTGTTTCCTTATCATGGTACTTTTGAGCCTCCTATGTTTCCAGGGTGTTCCTATAGGTGGACTTACTTCGTCATCAGCATTAACTACAGTTCCTATTATTCCACTGTTTCCACCACAACTGCATGACTAGAATGCAGATGTACTTGATGATCAGATTGTGGGCTCATCGGATGGAGGATATCGTTGTTATCTTATTCGGTGGAGAGATCGTCTAGAGACTGATGATTCATGGATTACTGAGGAGGAGTTTCGTTGGCTTGACCCTGATCTACTAGAGCATTATCATGATTGTATCTCTCCGGAGGCGAGTTTTTTTCAGTCGGGGGAAAATGATAGGAATCGGATTATATTTCGTTATAGTAGGCGTAGGCGTAAGGATTATGAGTTATTTGTCATTATACTTTTCAGGAGTTTAGTTGTTATTATGACTATTTATTTCTTTTAGAGTTCTTTTAGAATTTGTGGTCTCCCTATATATATATATATATAGGAGATATGTTATTTGTTTTGGTAGACTTTGATTATTGATATTGAATCTTCTTTCTAAAATTCTCTCTATTATCATCTCCTTCTTCTTCTTTCCTCATCCATTTCTTCTTTCCTACTCATCCCTAATTATTCACTAATACGATCTACATCACAAGGACCTATTGATTTTGGAACCACTGAAAGCAAAATCCTCTAATTTCTATAACAAATCGAACTTCCTAGAGAAAACAACATGAAAATATCATCTAATAAGTTTCTGAAACGATCAAATCCATGGAGCAAACAAAATGAACTTCATCCAAGTGCTAACCATAATGCAGTTGAACTATGATTACTACAATTCACTACACTCTTAACGATCAATAATCTGGATACATCGATCCCAAACGAGGTGGGTTCACGATCCAGATCACAAAAATGGACGATCCCCAAATTGTAATACTTACCCTAAAAAAATTCGCTTTAGAACATGTAGTACAAATATAAAATACATATTAATTGACTATATATATATATATATTTATAATTATATATTATTTTAGATATTAAAAAATCAAGCACAACTATACGATAAATGATAACTAATTTTGTGTTTATGAATATTCTGTAATATATAATATTGTATAGTAATGAAAACGATCTACATAAGAGTTCTAAAACGAATTGCGAGCCAAAATACCATACTAGCTAAATCTATCCCCATCGTATAGTATACGTAAAAAAATGTCATACTATATATTCGTATCCGTACCACATACAAAAACGACCCACAATCGAGGTATCATTAAGTTGAACAATGTTATTTGTTTGGCAATCAGCTTCTCCAAGTTCCCAAACCACCCTCTTCTCTAATACTTCAGATGAGGGCAAGGATACCAGCAGAACAAATTTTAGCATATTCATGAAAGAAGTATCCATGAACAGAAGAAAACCGAAACATTTTTACAGCGATTTATCGGGCTTCATTCAGGTAATAAACCGTGAAGCATAAACCAACAGAAAGCTTTATTGTATATTACAAGCAATCAGAAGATACACAAATGAGTCGGTCTTTAAAAAACGATTGCTCATCTAATCAAGTCTTTTCGGCTTCAAAAACTCGACATATTCAATGACAACAATAGATTCAGACAGACCATTGAGATCTCTCAAGCAACTGGAGGGCGGAGCACGTGATCCTGCGATGTGTCAACCAGGGCAGGGGGCATGAATTGCCACATTGCGATTCCAGGGTAACCGATAATAGGCATCAACTTGTTGCCAGCAGCTTGTCCTTGAGCAGAAAATGCAGCACCAGCCGCTGAGGGATGAGGCAGGAAGCCTGTTGGTGCACTCAAGGCTTTCACTTGATGTTCCAACTTCTCTTTATCAGCCTTTAGCCTCTGCTTCTCATCACGGAGCTCATTCTTCTCAGCCTGAACAGATAGAGGGGGATACAAATGACGCTCTCCCGCACATTGTAAACAGTACTCAACCAAAAAAATGAAGAAATCCTGATGATCCATCAACATCTACTTTTAAGTTCATTGACCAGACCAACCAAAGAATGAATGAGCTTGAAAGCCAATTCGATCAAAACCTCACCTTTAATTCTTTTATCTTCTCTTGCAAATCTTCGTTTGAGTCCTTCATCTTCTGGGAGTCACTTCTCAGTAGAGTCACCATTCGGACAGCCTCACTAAGAATAGCTTCTTTATCTGTTTTTGGTGGCCTTCCAAGATCAAGTATGGAACCCAGTTCCAGGAACCTTCAAACAAAGCCAATTTTATGTGAGATACAAAGCATAGTGAATAGTGAGTACGACATGGGGGAAAAAATAACAAGAGCATGCCTCTCATTCAGCCTATTCCGTCGCAATTTCTCCCGACATGCTTTGGAGCCAGATTTTCTGCATGATTCGGATTTTAACCTGTAACACAGTTGCATACAGGTTAGATTTTAACCTGTAACACAGTTGTATACTGGTTAGATAAGACATTTATCAGTGCTTGTGTGTAGGTACAAGGGAGACCGGTATTGGTAAAATTCCTCAATAGTCAAATGGACCAGTGATACAAAATTAACTACTGCTAAACCATTAGGCAATACATTAATCATCAAACAGACAAACACAAATGACAAACAATCTCATTCACATTTATTACTCCCTTGCCTTACAAAAAGATCATTATAAGTTCTGGGAGTTCACAACAGAGATTTGGCAAAAAGGCTACAATCTGGTTTCTGGCTAGGCAAAATACTTTGGGATGACAGAAGACAAATCAGTTGTGTTTGTGGGATCCCACAAGGAAAGGATGTCAAATGCCTATTAATCCACAACTGGCTGTCAAACCTGGATTAAATGGTACCCCAGCAGCCGCTGAGACACACATTTCAAGATTTAAATCATATCATATATTATTTAAATACAGGCCATAAAGGTAAGATAACAGGATGTCAAGGGATAATATTGATATTAGGACAAATATGTTTCACAACATTAGTCTGAGTCATATTTATGGCTTCTTCAGTGCCTGCGGATGTACTACTGAGGTTATGTTTTACAGTTTAAAGCATTTTAAGTTTTTGCACTCATTGTCATGAATCATGTATGTATAATACATATTTTCATTTTTATTCACACATGCATGCATATAACTTTCAAAAAACCCGATAATTCATAGAAGCCAAAGATAAGAAGCTTAAGTGACGTATTTAAGGTCTCAAGCTTTACGTTGCTTGCCTTAAACTAAAGATTTTGAAAGATGCACAAGGCTTATTACTGGGATGCTTAATCAGCTTCATTCATGTACACCCATCCAGGTTGATTGGGCCACATAAGTTCCCTAGTCAACAAAAACAAAGCTAAAAATTCAGGTGACCAGCGTAGTTGTTTGCAGCATCAATGTTTCAATCCAATAACAATAACACTTGAAGTAGTGCATTACCATCCAGTTTTAACAACATTCTTAATTCACGAGTTGCTACAGGTTCCTCTATAATGACCAAATGCAATTGAACAAAATTAGAACATTAATATACATATGTGAGAATCAACAACATAAAGGAAAACAATAATAACCATAATCATTTTCCTACTTATCTATATGTATTGAAATCAATTCATTATTTGCTCGGCGGAAACGTTTATTCTAACTAAATCAGTAATTTGACCATATAGGTGTTCAAGCATTGAAATGGAAAGGAGCAACAGGAAAAGGAAAAAACTTTATACCGTTTGCAGGAGCCTGCTTCCTTTAGGCCTTCTGAATCCTCAAATGAGCAGTAAATTTCCGCACTGGAAACAGATAACTTAACCATGAATACCTCAAGAAGGGAATGACAAAGGAAACAATATAATTAACACAAGTTAATAGGTCAATTAAAGCTAAAATTGAGCATCTTCAATCTTTATCCTTTTTCAAACTCAAATTTAAATTTAGGTAAAAATCTTCTAAAAAATTTTTCCAATATTAAACTCATACTCGTATCAAATCAAGAAGACTCATTTTTTTCCTCAAATCAATAAGAGACTTGAATTCATACTTAAATTTTTAATTGTGAAATTTCATTCATATTTTACCCATATTTAAATTTGAGTTTGCCCAAATTTAAATTTTTCCGTTAGAGAGGTTTATATCAAATCAAACTTTTTACTTTTTTTTTTACTCAAATTTGAGTAAGAGTTTGGGTTTCATTGAAAATGGTTTAAGAAGTTGCGGGAAAGTTATAAAAACTGTTGAAATGGCGAAATTTAGATTGCAGCCATTAACACACCAAAAAATGAATTTACAGTGCTTAAGAACAGTCTTGTGTAGGCAGGCTATACAGTTCAATGCTCAATTTCCTATCCTTTTCCTTCAGTTTCTAGGCAGCCAAACAAAGTATTATAAATAAATAAAAAACCAACCCACCTAACATTAGTAGAACAGCTGAGAGCTTGATATGGCCAACTGAATCCGGAGACGGCGGAGATATCATCCATTAAGCCATAGTCGAAGAACAAGCAAGTAGAGTTCTTCGATGAATCGATCTCCATTGAATTAGACTATGGTTTCACAGAACTTTGGAGGAATGTGAGTAAAATTTTTCTAGTTTTTCTACTTGTTTGGCTGAGAGGGAAGGGAAGGGACGGGCAGTGATGACAGCGTTGAGAACTGCACAGTTCGTTTTGTCATCAGATTTAAAAAGTAAACGCTTTCTATGAATTTTGTTTTGGATGCGTATGAGACTCAATTAAGTATAGAGTAAATTATACTTTATCCCCTTGAACTATTATTTTTATTTTATTTTATACCCTCAATTATAAAATTTCTCACATTATACCATAAAATATTAATTTTATTTCATATTACTTCAATATGTCAAAGGGGGACTTCCTATCAAGTACTTAATACCATTTTATTTTACCTCTTTTACAACCAAATGATTGTTGAGAATAAAAAAATTTCGACAAAATAAATAAAATTTAGAGTTTAGAAATGACAAAGTAGTAGATGAATATTTTTTTTTTATTTTTTACCCGTACTTGTGCAATAGGCAGTCGCTTATTGGTTAGTACAGACGACTCACACTCTTATTTACCATAAAAAAATTGATAGTCGTTATCTATTAGAGTGATATGAAATAAAACTGATATTTTAGAGTGCAATGTGAAAAATTTTATAATTAAAGATATAAAACAAAATAAAAGTAATATTTAAGAAAATAAAATATAATTTACCCTTACTATACACCACTGGTGGGTAGTTGTGCAATGTAAGGGCAAGTGGTTATATTAAATATATAACTCTACTAATATTATTGGTGTTGTATCCGTGATGAGCATTCATTTGTTGCAGTCATCTATATCGCAAAATTGATTATATAAAGAGTCAAGCGTCTCTCTCAATTTGTGAGATGCGGTTCCTAAGGAAGGACTGTGCGTGACATGAACAACCTTCTCCTGGTTAACTTAAATTTGATTTATTTTTGGCATGCTTCTGCAATGGAAACCAAAAAAAAAAAATCACGCTTAAAACAATAAGTTGTATAGTATGTTCTGTAAGTTAACCATATGCAAATACATGCATTAAACAACTTTTATGGATAGCCTATTATTTCAGTCACGATTGAAATACCATGATTACTCGTGACAATATTTAGTTTTTGTGGTACTTATTTGATTATTGACGGTGGTTCAAATGCGAGAGGTTGCATCGAATGCGAGTTGAAAGTGTGAATAATTTTTTTTGTCAACATTGTTCAGTATCCAGGGTGGAGTCAAAAAAAATTCTTTTTGGGTGGGCACCTCAATTATATATTCTAGTTTTTTGCTTTATCGTAATAGAGTCAGAAATTATTTCAGATTAATTAGTAAAAAATTCACAATTTGGGCTTGATTTTATTTAATAGTCATTAGATCAATGGAATATAGTTAAATTTTATTATGCTTGTAGAAGAGTGAAAATCTAAATAAAATGAGATTAAAAACGGAGGTAAACTTGGTAGTATAAATTTTTAAAATTTTAAATTTATATAATAAAGGAGAACGAAATTTAAATTTAAAAGATAAAGAGTGGTCCAGATCGTTTTGAAACAAAACATAAATACATCTAATGAACAACGTAATCCCAAAATAAAAAACCATTCAGATTATCTCAAAAATTTTGATCTAACGGTCTACAGTTAGTCTTGAATTTCTTTTTCCGCCCATGAAAAATCCTCTCATTATAAGACTCTACACTCCTATCTCTCATACATCTTTATCTTAAAATTGAAAAAGCACAATAACAACTCAAATTGAATTCATTTTAAATTAAATGGTTTAGACTTCATCTAAATTCATAAAACTTAATTCAATGGCTCACAACACATTCCACACAAAAATAAAATCCTACCCAACTTAACTACACCCACACGCCACCCATTCTGTCTAAAACACAGGCATGCGACCTTTTTCCTAGACCAAACATAGTAGTTTCTTTTTCTCTCTCTATGCTCGCTCTGCCATGGCTTCTCTGTCGTCACCTAGGTATCCCCCCCTTTCTCTCTCATAACACACACATCACCCTCCCTGTATCACAACTCACATACATACACACCAAAACACAAACACACGCACGAGCGCACACATATCACATCCCACATATAACACACGCACACACATATCACACATGTCTTCACACACAAACAGACACACACACACACCTCCCATTTCATACTCCCAGCGACACCAACGTCAGCCAGTGAAGACGCCATCAGCAAGGCCTTTCTGCCCAAGCTCTTCAGGCATCTCTCTCTCCCCCTCTCTCTTCTCACATGTGAAACACTTTTGTCAAACCCACACCCACACTCACACCCAATCATCTCTCTCTCTCAAAATGACATTATCAAATATGGCCCATAAGCTGTTTGACAAAATGTCCCAAAGGATCTTGACTTAGCCCCTTCTCTTCTATACACGTAAATCTACAAGTGCTTAATTAGGGTTTGGTTTTCATAATGATTGTGTGATTTTGGAATGGGAGTTTGATGAATTAAATTTTTGTGTTGTCTTAGATTTTAGCATACATATGTGATTTGGTGTTGCCTTAAACTAAGAAATGGGTTCTCTGTCTATGTGTATGTGTATACTACTATGGGCATTTGATTTCGTGCTTATGTGAAGATGAAGATCCACAGGGTACTCTTATTTTTTTCTATTTATTTAATTCTCATAACTATCCATAGTTTGGTATGTTGGTGTATGTTTAGCGAACAAATATTTCCTGCTACTTATGAGTTATGATTTTTTTTTTTGCTCCTCTGTTTGTACATTAAACTCAATGCTTATTATTATTATTATTATTATTGTGATAATAGTGCATAACAAATGATTGCTAATTGAATTGTTAGTTTGATGTTTATTTAATGTATAGTTTGTGATTTTCGTTTGCAGGTCTAAGTTTTTGGGTTTCAATATCATTAACATCATATTCAAGTTTGTTGTCTATGCATTTCCAATTTGTACATCTTTGCAGACTTTACATGAGGTTCTGAACTTCAACCATTTTTTTCATGTTCCAATCCAATTTGAGATTTTTATTTTTAATCAAAAAAAAATAAAAATTATCTGGGTATTCCTGATTTCTTTGGTTAGCACCAAATTCAGATTTGTCTGTCTGCTAACTCTATTTTTTTTGTCTAGTTATGCTTAATTGATTACACTCGTACACATTGGTATGCTCTTACTTAGCCTAATTAGCTGTCTGGATGTTATTCAATTTTTATTTAATTGTTGTTTCATTGTCTACATGTATCGTTTGCTGATTATTCATTACCATCACCGGATTTTACTCATTAACCCCCAAAATCATGATGAAATTACAACCTTAGAGGAAGACACATTCGAGTTAAAAAATATGCATTGGATTTAAGCTTCAGGTTTGGATGCATTGATACCTCTATGGTTATGTTTGGGTTAATTTTGTACATTGTTTCATTTTATTATTATTTTTGGTTATGATATTTGTCAGATATGTAGTTTTCTTTGGGAATTGCTTGAGGACATTTTGCGTTTATAAAAAATATTTTTTTACATTCGTTGGATAAAATGTTGCCTATTTTGGGAATTTGGTTGTTTGCCTACCTATTTTTGGGAAGTCTGAATTTTGGTTATTTAGTAATTGGTGTTTTCGTTGAGTTTGGTTGAGTATTTTTTTCTTAATATTGGTTATGGAATGGTCTATGTTGGATATTGATACATACAATGAGATATATAAGTTTTGTAGACAGATTACGATTTTTTTGAGTTTTTATTTTTACTGAAAAATCTGACAAAATTTGTTGAAAAAATGGCGGGACTTGATTGATTTAAATTTATTTAATTAAAACAAATGACACAAACTATTTTAAAATGATGGGTTTGTAGATTGCGAAGTGCCTTTAAGGAATTTTTGGTTATTATTTGGTTGCTTAGTTGCCACTGTACCTACTTTAAATCAAGCAGCGAAGTGCCTTTAAGGAGTTTTTGGTTATTATTTGGTTGTTTAGTTGCCACTATGACTACTTTAAATCAAGCTTAATGGGTTTTATAGTTATTTAAGGGTAAGAATTGATGTTTAATCGAACCTAGAATTTTTTGTTGTTTCATGAAGGAAATGATGTTGCATTTGCTATAAATAATTCTCCTCTATATAATATTATAAGATGAAATGTGTATGCGTGATGATTGTGAATATTGAGTTATTATGTGCAGATTTAATAGGGTTGAAAATATTGGCGTGATAGTTAATTATGGTTATTTAAGTTCAGTTCAATTAGTATTTGTGGGTTTTATGATTTCTTTTTTAGTTACTAAATTTTTTTTCCCATTTGTTAATTTTTGTAGATTTGATTTTTTATTCGAGTGATTTTGTTGTATTACACAATATTTTCAGGCATGAACATTATCTAGTTAATGTATATTTTTAAAATTTTAGAGAAATAAAATATAATTAAAAAAACTTAAGGGTGGCATGGTCCCCCCTTGACCAAAAAATAGCTCCGTCACTTCACACCATTATTAAGGTCATGGAAATGAAAAAAAGCTAAAAAAAACATAAAAAGTTTTTTTTTCCAAACCGGGAAATATAAATAAAAAAGTGGATAAAATCAAAATGAATATTGAATAAATTTACAGTAACTCTAAAAAAAAATTTAGTTTCATACAAAAAACAATTTCTGACTCATAGGTCTTAATTTGATTCTTTTGTAACTGTTAATTATAAAAATATAAAATAAAATAATATAATAGAATAAAATAATTTTACATTTGTCATATTCTTATTGGATAAAAAATTAAAAAATATTATATCAAAAAATAACTTTCCATAATTTGTATACATGAATTTCCCAAATTTTTTCCATCCTGGAAACAGTTATCAAATACATAAAGACGGCTGGCTTTGTGCGGATTACAAAGGAAAAAAACGAAGAGTGGAGATGCGGGGTATCGATCCCCGTGCCTCTCGCATGCTAAGCGAGCGCTCTACCATCTGAGCTACATCCCCAGACAATGTCCTTGCTTCAAAATTATATATTTTTTTATATTTAAAAACAAATACTCCACTGCCCCCGCGTTCTGTAGTGATTCTTGTCCCAACACAAGTGTTGGACGAAGTTCCCGGCAAATCTGAGCTTTTTTTTATTTTCAACGGTCAAGTTCTGAACAAGTTTGTACGTATTTCCTTGACTACTTTAGTCTAGTTAATTGTGTATTCTCGATTTCAAATTGTGTACACCTTAGTCTAGTTTTTAATGACCTTCATCTTGAGGGTTTCCTAGAGTTTAATGTCCTTTGCTCACTTTTTAACATAATAAGTGTCATTCTATCAAGTCTCATTAAAGTTAATGTTCCGGACAAATGGATCTACACTTGGAAACTACCGAGCATTCATGCCTTGATACCTCGTCATTAAATACCTCATCTCGGCTTTGGAAACCTGTGCTCAAGCTTTTATGATGAGGAATCAAATGACCTCGGGGTGCCTCGAGGACTTCATGTCAGCATGATGGTCATTAATGCCACTTAATAATGACTATTTCCACATTTTTTAATGAACTTGACGCTCAATAATAATTGTGTTAGACCACTCAAGACTCATATTAACGAGCCATCAGGTCTTATTTAATATTGGGTCTAAGGGACATGCTTGGCCTCTTATGTCATAATTTCTCGGCGCCTCTCTCGAGCGAGCTGTGCACGTTCTGACGGCTGTGACTTCCACGTGTTTATTTTTTATTGACAAGCCGTTTAATGTCCCGTCAATTAATACCAAATAGTGAACCGTAAGCTCCAAAGAGGCCTTTTTGGTGGGTGTTGTGGAGAGAGAATGAGGAAGAGAAACAGGGAGAGAGCTTAAAAAAATTTAAGTTTATCGTCGTCAATGATATAATCTGTAATTTTATTTTTAAGATTTCACTGGCCATTAAATTTTTCAAGCTGATTCTCTACGAAGAAAGCATTTTTTTTTTCCTGTTGATGACTTTATTCAACTTTATTTGCTCTTGGCTTTGTGAGGCTAAATGAGACCATAATGACTAATAGAAGACTAAATGAGACCATTAATTTTCTGACGGTACGTAAGTATCGATTTATCTAAAAGCCTAAACAGTGTAACATATGTGCATCTCCAAATCTTTGCGGTAATTTTCAAGCTCTTCTCTAGTTTTGCAAATCCTGCAAACCCGGCAGCCACTAAATCATAGGAATCAAAATCCTGAATCACTTAATTTTTTTTTTTTTGTAATTTTCCTGTATTTTTTTAAGACATCCCTTCTTTTATCGAAATCGAGAAAACCCCATAGCACCGCCGAGAAAAAAAAAATAGTACTTTGTATACAAACTTTACAAAGTTACTGTCTATAACAGGATCAGGAGCTAAGAAAGATAAATAATAGACCATCTTCCTGCTAATAATAGAACCGACTGCTAGAAAACAGATAGTTTTTTTGGATATTATATGAACAACTTATGCCGTTTAAAGACAGATCATTCACGTCAAGATTAGAATATTGACGAGAGATAAATTTATCACAGCTTGACCCAAGAAATTATTAAAATTTGAATAACTCGATCATATTACCGCTTAATCTATCTTTTAAGTTTTATACGGTCAATTCCTTACAATGATGAATGAATATGTATAGAAAGTTAATGCAATATCTGAAAATCAAATAAATGCGACGATCCTCCTTCCTAATTCCTGTTCTTTTCACAAGGTTATACATCCCTTTTAGTCAATTTCCACAAGTTCTCCTCTATTTGGCATGAGGGAAAAGGAGGGGTGATTGTGTTTTCCATCCTATTGGTGGTTTAGAATTTAATCAAAATTTGAATCCAAGTAGCCCAATATCAATTTACATTTCGAATAATTATTTGAATTCAAATCTACACAATCATATCAATATCCAACAACTCTGATTTCGATCTAAATTTTATAAACATCTAAAGAAATCAATTGTTTACTTGATGGAATCAGGTGAAAATAAGATGTAATATAATAACGTAATGATAAAGGTAAACTTTAATCGAGTTATTCGAATTAAATATAGTTTTTATATTAAATCTTGGTTTTTTTTGAATTTGGCTGTAAAAATAAAAATATTGGATAACATAATGTCAAATTAGATTGGATTGGATCAACTGGAATTTAATTATTTTCACTATGATGTGATCTAATATCGTAAATAAAAGTCATTAAATTAATAGGTCCTTTGCTCATTATATTTGACATTTGAAATTTAGTAAAGATTTTGCTTGCAAGTTTATCTGTCATATAAATCCGTCTTGATTCAAACTCTATTCGTCTATTTTGGTAACTCCTAATCTATTTTCTTCTAACGGAAAAAAGGGGGATTATATTTTATGTCCTGAAATATTTAAAATTTTTTATTTTATATTTTCAAATATTTAATTTTTTATAAGGTTAATTACAAATTACACATTGAAAGATCGTTCGAATCTCAATTTGTACATTCAAATATCAAAAATTTTAATTTATACCCTAAAAGATAAAAATTTATATCAATATGCACCTCCAAAGATAAAAAATCTCAATTTGTACCCTCAAAGATAGAAATTTGTATCAATGTTAACCTAAAACTAACCGTCGTCAGTTTGCTGCCAAAAATTAAATTAATAAATTATACCTAAATCCCCTCATGTTTGTCATTTAATCATTTGAACCCCCTTCACATTTAGAATAATACTTCTATATCTCATGACGTTTGTGCACGTGCAACACGTAATCTTTTTTCGTTGATATCTGTTAATATAACCATTAAAAAATATAATTTTATCATAATAAAAAATTATAATTTCATATTACCTTTTATTTTGTGGGTCTGATATGTTTTAAAGTTCAAAATCAAGCTTACTATTTGAATGTCCAATAAATTGTAGGTATTTATATAATGTTTTTTTATATGCAATGCAATATATCACTTAAACATAATTATTTAAATGTCCAATTGGGGGGACATTTTAGATTGAAGTGCACATTGATACAAATTTGTATCTTTGAGGGTGAAAATTGGGATTTTTAATTTTTAGGGGTATACATTGATACAAATTTTTATCTTTGAGGGTGCAAATTAAGATTTTTAATTTTTAATGGTGTAAATTGAGATTTGAACGATCTTTCAGGGTGTAATTTATAATTAACCCTTTTGTATATTATATATTTAATATATCAAAAGTGTTGCAATATCGTCATTTTGTTAACTTTTTATTAATTTTTTTGTCGGTGTCAAAGAGTTGATTTTTGACATGAAAAATAACAGAAACTAATAGAAATGTTATATTATAATATTTTTAATACCTTAATGCTCCGTTTGATACGATGAAAAAGTGAGAGGATGAAAAGTTGGAAGGATGAAAGTTGGAAGGATGGAAAGTTGGAGGGATAAATAAAACATCATGTTTGATAAGGAAGGAAAGTAGAAAGAATGAAAAAGTGGATGAATTAACTTTCCTTCCAACTCACCAAAATCAATCCCTCCAAAATCGGAAGAAAAGTGGATGAAAAGTTAATTATTTAAGTTGAGATGTATCTTATTTGTCTATATATCTTATGTATACATTAATTTCATATAAAAATACAATGGTAAAATATGTATATATATTTTAAAAACTTTTAAAAATTAAATTTAAAAACATAAAAAATAAAAAAAAGTAAAAAAATAAAAAATAAAAAATAAAAAATAAAAAATTTAAATTAAAAAATAAAAAATTTAAATTAAAAAATAAAAAATTTAAATTAAAAAAAAAATATATTTTTCATCTTAACACGATGACACGACTCGAATTTGATACGAAAATAAATAGGTCAACTCACAATTCGACATGACACGACACATTTAGTTAAATGAGTTAAGTTAAGTTTGACTAATATTCGATAGAAACTCATACTGACTCAACACGAATCTGACACGATACGACTCGACTCTATTGTCACCCTTAATCTTAGCCAGCACAAACAAAAAAAATAATAATCAGTTTTATTTTTCATCAATCCAACCAAATACAAAAGAAGGAAAATGTATCTTTCTTACATTTCATCCTTGAAGGATATAAAGTGTATCCATTATACTTTCTATCCTCCTTACCAAACGGAGCATAAGGGTAGGACTGTTAATCAAGATAAACTTGAACATTTTTTTAAGCTCGTTAGTGTGTAAATAGTCAAACAAGCATGCTCGTTTATGTGTAAATAGTCGAACTATTAGGTTCGAATTTAGCTCGATTAACACCCCTACTTAAGGGTATAATGTTAAAATTTTAATTTTTGAGAGTGTAAAGTAGAAAATTTAAAATCTTTTAGGGTACCAAGTGCAAAAAGTCCAAAATAAAAATATATTTTCATGAAAATAAAGAAAATAAAAGGAAAAAGAAAAACGGGACGACAATAAAAAAAACCCAAAAATCCAACATCACTTTTGGGGCCCCACTTTCTCTCTCTCTCTCTCTGCCCCCGACGTTCTCTGCACGTCTTCTTTCCTCGTCATTTTCCTTTCTCTCTCGCTGCCTCCGAAAATCATGAAACTCTCCAACGATCAAGAAATCCCAACAAAAATCTCACGTTCGGATAAAGACAACAACATACAAAAAGGGTTTCGAATTAATCTGCTGATTCCGTACGTTGTCTTCCAAGGTGCCAAAATATTCAAAACTCAATCCTATCGTCTGAAGGTACTTGATCATAGCTCATTCGAATTCATTTCTACAGGCTAAGAGGTTTTCTGGGTTTTGTTGGTACAGCATTGGACGCCAGGAGCAAAGGAGATTACATGCACACACATATATATACAGATTTATATAGAAATTCTGTTGTTATAGCTCTGGATAAGCGTGGGATTGTTGGTCATATTTCAAGGTTGGCAAAGAGCTATTTGGTTTTTCTGTAGCATTGCATTGGAGGTTCAACACAAAGGAGATTATATATAGATATAGCTAGAAAAAGTTGTTATCTGTGTCAGATTTGAATTGTTGGGGATTTTGAAAGTTGGCATTGCATTTGGGTTTTTGTGGTATTGCATTGGAAGTATATTCTGGTTTTTGTAGGCCATATATTCGATGAAATGAGAAGGGCAGTGATATGGGAATGGAACAATAATTTCAGAAGCCATGGACGAGAGAAGGGTCCGTTCTGTTGTTCTTTTTGTTGTTCTTCTTTGCGTGTTGGTGGAAGGGAATAGGAAAATTGCAGAAACCTTTTTCAGCGATGAAGTGCCTTGGAATATTCAGGAGATAGATGAAGATACGGTATGAATTCAGACTCCAATTGCTGATACATACAGATGAGTTTCTTAATGTGTTTGAGTGTTATGATGAGATGTGATATTAGAAATAGTTTCAAATGGCTGCTAGATATAAGTTTGCCACAATGCCCAGGTTCCGACAAAATGGTTTGGCAATTGCCCACATGAAATGCTTGTATTCTGTTACATTTTGTGTTCATTACAAATGGCAATTTTCCAACTCTCTCATAAAATACCATCCTAGATGGATTATTTTTAAAAGGTCCTTTTTTTTTTTTAAATTTTTTATTCCGGTTTAATTTGAGGCCTGTTGTAATTTGGCTTTGGCAAATGGAGGGGAAGAGTAGTAAGCTTTTTTTTTTTTCCCTTGCTTTAGTTAAATACATAGAGACAATGATCTTTGAATCTTGCTATCTTTTCAAGTTAATTGACATGCACTTTCTCTGTGAAATTTTATAGGTCAACAAGTGCTACTTCGGGTTGTTCAGGGTTTTCTGTTTGTACTTATTTCATAAAAGTGTAGCCTCGCGTTGTCTTTTTTGTGTGAAAGATTTTTGTTAAAATCTTTTATGTGAAGAAGGTTTTGAAGTAGTAGTCTAGTTCAAAAGTGATTCGGTCAGATATTGAACTCTTGGTATTGTACTTTGTAAAAGATCTAGGAACGCTTTGAGATTCAAGATGTTGGGCTGCAGAAGCTTTGTTATTTTGTCACCCTGTGATACTTGCAAGGTGTGATTGTATGCTATCTTTCGAGATTTGGGGTCTTTAAGATACTAGTAGCAGATACAATAAGTTTCATGTGTGAAGGTGAAGGTCCAATCTAAAATTCACCTTCCATTTGATACACACAGCATTATTAGTGCCACTGAATATCAAGTGCCAGCTATTAAAAGAAGAAAAATAGATCATGTGGGTTCTTGCTATCTGCTCTGTGAAATTTTATAGGCTAACAAGTGTTCATTGGTGTCTTCAGATTTTTTCTGTTTCTATTTATTTCACAAAAGCGTGGGTAAATCACATTGTTTTTTCAGTGAAAGCTTCTTGTTGACATATTTAAGACCTCCTACAAAGCTGCGGATGCCAAAGAGGAGAAAATTTGACTCCTGTTTAGTTGGAATGAAAAAGGGCAAACATATTCCTGTTATGTTGATGTTATAGCACTTGATATGGCTTTATGTTAATAAACTGAACAGCTATATTCTAAATTTGATGAAATATTCTCCATGCAGGCAGAGCAGGTGTGGGTTCATTGCAGGAAAGAATTGAAAGAAAGTACAGAAGCTGTTGAAAATTTTGATTTGTATCTCCCACAGGCAGCAACGAATCCTACCGATAGCTTAAAATCGGAAGTAGCATTGTTGACAAAAAGAATCATACACAAGGTCATCACTGATCTGCGTCCTGAAGTCAAACACATTATTGGGGATTGCTTAAGAAAGAAAAATCTACTATCTCATAATTCTGGGAAAGAGGATGTGTCTAAGAATTGGTTCATCAAGTGCCAGGAGCTGCTTTTTGATTGGACCAGTGTTCCCAGAAGGTGCCTGGTAAGTAAACAGAGTCAACATTTAGCACCGAGTCCTGCTCAGGCCCGGAGGAGAAAGCATCACCATTTTGTGGCAAGCCCAGCTCCAGCTCCAGGCCCTGCAACAGCATCACCAACTTATGCTCCAGCACCATCTTACCCGGTGCCTGCAAGCTCTCCGTCTCCGATTTCACCCTCCCCTGTTGAGGCTCCAGAACCATCTCTTCCACAAGATCTCAATGACTCACCTCCACCTCCAGCTGTCTTTTTCCCTCCCCCAAGACCACCTGATGGTCCACATATTCCTTCACAAAAGAACAGAAACAACCCAAAATATACCACTGCTACTATAGCTGCATCCTCAGTGGCAGCAGTTGCTCTTATTGCACTGTTCTTGCTTTGCTGCCTCAAGGGTAGCAAGAACAAAATCGGTCCCAGAGATGGGCAAAGAGATGAGAAACCTCTACTTAACATATGCTCCAGTGATCTCTCTGCTGGTATTTATCATGAGGATTAAGTTTCTGCCGTTGCATATTTCAATTTTATTGTACTTATCATTACTTACTTTTCATTTTTGCCTTTCAGGTTCTTCACAGAAGTCTCTTAGTGTAGGAAATTCAAATAACAAAGATTTCAGGACATCGTCCATTGTTAACAATCTTTCCATCTCAGCTGATATTCATAAGTCTTCTCTGGGCGAAGATCAATCATCAGAAGCTGCTGTAGGTGCATCCGGAAATACCTCGGCTTCATTACCACTTCCTCCTGGAAAAACTGCTCCTCCACCTCCTGGACCTCCTCCTCCTCCACCCAAACCTCCAGCCCCTAGCCCTCCTCCGCCTCCAAAGGTTGGTCGCCCTCCACCTAATCCACCAAAACCTAGTAGTTTGAAGAAGCCTTCGCCTCTCGGACCACATCATCAGGGAAGTTCTTCTTTGGGGGAGGGGAATGACTCACACGCTCCAAAAACAAAACTAAAGCCATTCTTCTGGGACAAGGTTCTTGCCAATCCTGACCACTCAATGGTGTGGCATGAAATTAAAGCTGGGTCATTCCAGTAAGGCTTTAAATTTTGCTCCTTGGTTCAGTTTGATTTTGCAAAGAATTATTACTTGACTCAGATTGAAAATTGCTGAACGACATCTGACTTTACAGATTCAATGAGGAGATGATTGAATCTCTATTTGGGTATGCCTCTGTGGATAAGAACAAGAATGAGCGCAGGAAAGATGGACCATCTTTTGATTCTCCCACTCAGTATATTCAGATTATTGATTCGAAGAAATCACAGAACTTATCGATTGTCCTAAAAGCGTTAAATGTGACAACTGAAGAAGTCTGTGATGCCCTCAAAGAAGGTGACTCTCTCTCTCTCACTTGCTAGAATATTACATAACGAGCAATAACTTCTTGATTAGTATGCAGAATAGAAACTTCCTTTCTAATTGAGCTCGAAAGATGAGTTTTGATTTTGATGAAGGGATTTGTACACCTTATTTTGTTTATCATTTTTGGGCGGCAGAGCTGACTCCTGCAGTTTAAGGAACTCTTATAAGGAATTTATATGGAACTCCTGATCTTATTTCACACGCAAAGAACCTTGTAACAACGGATATTAAATGTTCTTCTCGTGGTGATTGGGATAACAGGAATAAATACTGGTCTCTCTTTCACATGATGGCATTGGCATGTCCAGGTTAATTTAAGTAGGAACGATAAACTACATCTGTGAGAATATGGGAATATTCTCATACAGACCTCCATGATAAATTTTAATCAAGCGTTTTGATTTACATTTAGATGTAGCATGTGTGATTTGATGATACAAACATTTTAGTAGCTGTGTAATTTCTGATCAAATTGGTAGTGTCTTTTCAGAAATAATTATCGCCGGAAGTAATAATAATAATAGACTGCTAAACGCTTCCAATCACTGCACAATTGTGCTCTCAATAATGCATCTGGTGTCTTGTTTCATAACCCCATGGTCATAGCTCTCCGTGCTTTGTGTCCTCTTGTTTCGTTTGTCTAAACAAATTAACTGCTTATTCTTTCTTAATTCACCAGGTAATGAGCTTCCCGTAGAGCTCATTCAGACATTGTTGAAGATGGCTCCTACTACAGATGAAGAACTCAAACTTAGGTTATATAGTGGGGATCTTTCTCAACTTGGCCCTGCTGAACGGTTCCTCAAAGTCTTGGTTGACATTCCTTTTGCTTTCAAACGGCTGGAATCACTGTTGTTCATGTGTTCACTTCAAGAGGAAGTCTCTTCCATTAAAGAGTCCTTTGCAACTATAGAGGTGTGACATTCAATCTATAACTATGATGTATGTAGGAATATTATGTCTAAAGTGTTTCCCTATCTCCCGATGGGCAGAGTCTTCTATGTGGTGAAGCATTTAGTTTTTTTCTGTAGTTCATCATCTGTCTTTTCCCCTAGATCTTCCTGTTTCTATTGTCACAAATGTCAATTTTCTGCACAAAAACTGGTGATGCTGCATGGGTGGTGGCATTTAGGTTAAAATACATGGAAAATATTCATTCAGACAACATGTTACATTGTTAGGCTGATCATATACCTTGGCTGCGCAACGATTTGAAGACTTTGAGATTAACTCAGGGCTGATAAGAAATGAAATTTAGAGCATCAATTGGTGCACTTCTAGTTTCTACTATTTTATGTTGCATGGAATGCCAGCCAGATGATTCTGATCATATAAACTTGCCACATGTACAAACGCAGGTGGCTTGCAAGGAGCTCAGAAACAGCAGACTTTTCCTGAAACTGTTAGAGGCAGTTCTCAAAACTGGCAACCGCATGAATGATGGTACTTTCCGTGGTGGCGCTCAGGCATTCAAGCTCGACACACTCTTGAAACTGTCAGATGTAAAAGGAACTGACGGCAAGACCACACTCCTGCATTTTGTGGTTCAGGAGATCATTCGATCTGAAGGCATACGAGCTGCACGTAGACTACGAGAGAGCCAGAGCATGTCTAGTGTAAGAACAGAGGATCTTGTTGAGGAATCTACTCAGGAAACAGCAGAGCACTATCGTGGCCTTGGTCTTCAGGTGGTTTCCGGGCTAAGCAATGAGCTTGAGAATGTAAGAAAAGCAGCACTCATAGATTGTGATATCCTACAGGCAACTGTGTCCAACCTTGGCCACTTGCTTTTGAAAAATAAAGAATTTCTAAACACCGAGATGAATAGTGAGGAGCAAGTCAGCGAGTTCCATGATGCACTTGCTAGTTTTGTGCAGCATGCGGAAGGTGATATCATGTGGCTGCTAGAAGAAGAAAAGAGGATAATAACTTTGGTGAAGAGCACGGGCGATTACTTCCACGGGAATGCAGGAAAGGATGAGGGCTTGCATTTGTTCATGATTGTTCGTGATTTCTTGATAATTGTAGATAAGGTATGTAAAGAGGTGAGGAACTCAGCAAAAATGCCAATGAGAATTCCCAGAAAAGAGGCTCCATCAGCATCGCCTTCTCAAGAATCTCGTCAGCAGTCTTTGCCAGATATCCACCAACGACTATTTCCAGCAATTAGGGAGCGGCAGAGCGATGATTTCAGTTCAGATGATGAAAGCTCCTCTCCTTAGATTCCAGTTCTAACAGAAATATCAGAATTTGTAGATTGGAAACATGTCTGTTTATCATCTTTCTTCTTTTTTATTCCTTTTTTTTTACGGTTAAGTTCTTTTTTATTCTTTTTTGTTGATGGAAGATGTTTTTCTGGATGCATGTGAACAATTTGAGTGTGCTTTCGAGCAATTTAAGATGAATGGATTCAAGTTGATGTTTACCAGGAATATGCTCTCAGTTGAAAGGGAGGGTTTTGGAGATGTTTTTCATGGGTGGGGGAGAGCAATTGTTTAGAAGGGCTTTCCTCTTTTTTCGGTATTTCATTATGTAGACCCTTGGAAACCACATTCTCCTTCACTTGGTAGATTAGTTTAGACCTGATGCGGATGTGCGCAGTTGAAAGGGAGGATTGCTGTTGTTAGAGTTGTTTGTTGTTCTTCCCGATGGAATGGAATACACAGCTCCACTTGTTAGCACTTTCAGGTCTTCTCTTGCAGCTGAAAAGCCATACTAGAGTTCTAGAAGGACAATTCTCACCTTTCCCCTTCTTACTTATATTTGTGCAGGCGACTACAAAATCTTGGAGGTAGTATCGACAGACGATAATTTGCAGAATGACATATCCTGCAACAATACACAAAACTTTCAGGTCTTGTCTTGATTGTTCATGTGCCTGTGGAGTCTGAAATGCCTGGAGGGAGGAAGAAAGAAGACGGTGAAACTTTTATGTATATGAACGCCCAACTGAAGCTACTGTCATTGTAGTTATTGTCATGCTCTTCAGTAGCACTGTGTGGATCCAAATGCACTTTGTCCATAATATATTGTGATCTTTGTCCACAACAGGTCCACTTTTTTCTTGGAAATGGTAAGGGCAATACATTTTTTAAATAGATAACTTGATCATTGATTTTGCTGTGTTAATCTTTGAAACTAGCAGAGGCTGGTCTACTAGTATGGGTGCAATTTGGGTGGGTCAACCCGAACCCAATCCAAAAAAATAGTGTTAGGGTTAAGGTTGTTATGGTTTAGGGTTAGGGCTGAAAAGCATTGGCCTCAATTGAATTCGGGGCAAAGCTTGGGTTCACAGGTTTATCAAGAATAAGGGAAAATGCACAAGGAATTAAGTGGTTCACCAAGTTAAAAAGTTATGCTAGTCCATTGTAATAGAAAATCTTGTTCTTTGGCGGTGTATTATTTGAGAAATAAGGAGGTTACACTTAGGGTAATCAATTGCACATGTTATGACGATGCAAGAGGCTGTCTATTCATACATAAGAATGTTGTAATCCTAACAAGTTTGTCAATGAATATTTGGGATAATCATGGAGGTCATAGGCTCTTTTGTCTAGGTGTGACATGATATTCTAAAAGCGGTGATGTGTCATTCCACATGTAGTGTCATCTTGCCCAAGACAAGGTTAGCTAATGAAAGTTTTTTTTACCAGTGCTGACTATGACCTGACTTAACATAAGTCCGAGTTAGGTAATTTCTTTTGTTATCATCACGTACCATACTAGAAGTGTTTAGAAGTTGTAATTTATTTTTTATTTGTTTCAAGCCATTAATCTTAAAAACAATAAAATAAAGTAAATTGATTGAACAAAAAACTTCGCGTTTCATATTTTTTGTTGAAAGGAAACAAGAAGTATGACATAAAAAAAAAATTAGTTTTCGGTAACATAATCATTTCTCTTCAATCTTCCTCCTCCAAGATATTGAAAGCTGATACCACGTCCAAAGTTTATGGATGCAATTAACCAAAAATAAAAATAAAAAAGTTTAAGAATCCAAGTAAAAAATTTTACAGGTAAAAAGTATAATAATTGAGGCAAAAAAATAAAATAAAAAATGAAGTGGGCATAACAAGAAAAGAGCAACCATTTGTTGAGGGAATACACCATATCAAATGTAACTGCCACACTAAAGAAGAAGATAAGTAACGTCACTCAATTTTTTCGCAATGCAATTTTAGTTGGTTCTTTTGTCATACCACTATTTTTTTTTTTTGAGTGAATTACTTTTTATACCTTGAAAAAAAGTCAAGATTTTTACTTTTTATCGTCAAAGATTAAATTTCTCATATTGCATTTTCAATGTATCAAAAATATTACAATGTGACTATTCTGTTACTTTTTTCGTCAGTGCCCATGGTTTGATTTTTGATGAAAAAATAATTAAAATTAATAGAAGGTTACATTGCAACACTTTTGATACATTGATGATGTAATATAAAAAATTTAATTTTTGAGGGTGTAATGTGCGAATCTTAAAATCTTTCAGGTGCAAAGTGCGACAAACCCTTTTTTTTGGGATAATATTACTCTAGTGTCACAATATACTACAAGTCACAACTTACAATCAAACCGAAAAAAAAAAACAAAATTAAAGTCATTTAGGTTGAAAGGGATGGTGAGATAGACAAAAAGCAAGAAGCTTATAGAGTGATTTCCATTGCTGATCTTGCTTATTCACCGAGTGCAGCAGTGGCAGTGACATAATAGGCGACACAAAATAGGCCATGAACCATGCACAGAATCCCTCCAATGGACAGAAAATGATGATGTGTGAACCCACATGAAGTTCTTGACTTGTTGTTTGATATAGTCCCAATTACCAGGGCCGACAATCCCACAGCCAATATGATCCTGGGTCAATCATAATCCAAATCAGACCATAAATAACTCATAAAACTAACCCATATCTAAACACACACACACATTTGTATATCTATATACTGATATACAAGAATTTTCTCAATCACGCGCTGATATGGAGCTAGATAGTTTGTATTTAGTGTTAGAGGATGCAGGTGGTAAACAGGAGGATCTGTTAGACTTGTCGACACAATGGATAAACACCTAACTCAACTAGATGTGATATGAATATGATTAAAAGAAGCTTATGCATGACATAAACCCGATTATATATATGATTTCAAATGAGTTGGAGATGAGTTGAGCAAATTTTGACATAATAGGACTCATTTTAAAAATATGACACAACACTACCCATTGATAGCCCTACCATCTATGTTACTAATTATCTACTTAGTCTAAGTTTCTAAGCAATACTACGGAACCAAAATTTGGGATCCCAAATCAATAGGGGTCTTTGGATCAGTGGGACCTGTTAAAAAAAATCGACGGAACCCACCCATCTAATGATCCCTATTCATTTGGGATCAAAATTATTTGCCCCTTTTCACTATGACAAAGTGTGGGAATTAAAAAAATTCTTGACATACCACACAAAAATGAGGCATGCCACTGATAGTTGCCTGCTAGGAGATGCTTTTTGAAGCTCTTCTTGAGTACAAACATTGCACCCACCGATCAAGTTGGCAAGAACATGGGCAAGAACCAAAAGGGTGGCTGCAGCTAACCCTAACATGAAGGCATTATGGCTTGGTTCTTTACACTCAAATATCCATAGCCTTAAGTGCTTTTCCTATCGAGAAATGAAAGAAGTTTTTCAGATATTTATACTGTGAGAGAACTTCATACTTTTTGCCATTTGAAATGAAACATATACTTACCTGGTTTTGAGCTGCTTCTGCTTTGATTCCAAGAATCCCTGCTGTTATGTCCAGACCTACGATTACAAGACATGCTAAAATACCAAGTGTTTTGGCCATTTCTCTGGAATCCGAAGATCTTCTTGAGGAGATTGCGAAGAAATGAGTACTCTGTGAGAGAGAGAGAGAGAGAAAGAGAGAGAGAGAGAGTGAACAGCTAAAGAGCTGAAGAGTACTGAAGTATATGTTTATAAAGAAAGGGCAAGCCTACGAAAAATGTTTTTCGACACCATACCAAAGTTATCGTAAAATAAAAATTAGGTTACAAACTTGGCGAGGTTATAAAAAAATGGGGTTGTTTTTGGAGTTAATTTAGAGTCTATCCAATTTTTGTAATCGTAGTTTGACCCTATTTAATTGTAATTTTAACTAAAAAAATTATAATCTTAAAGACGATACCTTGTTTAATACCATAATCTTTCTCATAAAAAAAAAGATGTAAATGAAGTTAGAGGTGGATGCCGGTAGGAAAAGCTTCTTTTGTCAAGAACAGTGCTAACTTTATATTTGCTTTTGTGGCTCCTTTTTTTTCTCTTTCTTTGGATTCTTTTGACGGGGTAAGAAGGAAAGTAGGGCATAAACCAGCTAAGGAGGAGCGTGCAAAGACAAAGGTGGAATCGGTGGTGAGTGTTAAAAGGTCTTGTTTTTTGACTTTTAAATGGATATGCATTACTTTTGAAATCATTATTGTATTAAACCAAGGAGGATAAAGTCTAGCTTTCACTTCCATTCACATCTTGGGTTTTTGGATTTCAAGATGTTGGGTTTCGTAATCAACTATTTAAAAGTCCTGTTTTTAAATATATATGAAAAAGGTAAAGGTGTTAAATGTATAGAGTTGGATTATTTTAGATTTCAAACTTGTCAAAAATTTTAAAACTTGAATCTGACATATTTAATAATCGTGTCGAGATGTGTAAATACTAATATGACCTGACTATTAAATTGGTTACTCAAAGCCAATCTATTCGATATGTTTAATAAATAGGTCATTTTTGGGTTAGCATACATGTTATTTTGACTTGTTTAACACACATAACCTGTTTCCACACCTGTTCATTGTCATTAAATATATCATTCAATGATTCATCCAAAATTTCTAATAATTTGTTTACAAATAACATATCACATCTCATCAATGAAATTAACTAAAATGTATTCAAGTTTCAACCAAAAAATTAAAGCAAGAACTATATTAGTATACTATCATAATAATATTATGAACTATATTGCCAATTACTATAGTAGAAATAAGAACTAATAAGTAATAATGTTAAGATCACATCAATCATACAGATTGCGCAAATTATATTGTCATAAACGGGTCTATAATGGGTTGAGTCGGGTTTATATTCAAAATTATGTCAACCCATTTAAAATATACAGGTTAATCAGGTCAAGATTTGATTGACCTGATTTTGACATAAACTTGACATGATTTTTTTCGTGTTTAAACATGTTGACCCGTTTTAACCTATTAACTCATTTAATTTCGTGTTCGATTCATATCGTGTCAAAAATTAACAATATTAAGAATAGGGCTTCGATAAGTCCTAAATTTAAAGGGTTTCTTGAACTCTTCTAAGCAATTAAAAGAGTGCGGAATTTGACCTCTTTTAAATAGATGGATTTGAGATTGACTATAAAATCGAGTAGAGAGAATCCCGGGTAGGACAGAAAAATACGTTAGGCGGAGTAATTACTTTGGAGCAGGTTCTTCGACTGAATCAATGTATGCATGAGCCCTGAAAAAAATTCTGAAAGTCTAGTGTAGAAAAAAACCCTAATTTAATTAACTTATTGATAGAAAAGGTGGTCAGAGCCAAGGATGTGTTTTGGTTGTTGTATACCACATAGATTTCACTAGGAACTCTGCTACCAAAAAATAAAAAAATAAAAAAAATAAAAAATAAAGTAGGCACTTTCCTTTGCTACATAGGATTGACAATTCAAAATTGAGTTTAAACCAAGTTTGACTCGATTTAAAACTTAGGTTTGATTCAGTTTAAAACAGATATTAATTGAAAGGTTACACAAATTCAAGTTAGAATTTCAATTCGGCTCGTGTTAACCCTAGATTCACTAATTTGGGTTGAGTCCATGTTGCATCCGAAATCCAATCCCTCAACTTTAGTACTATATATTTATAACGCGTTGTGATTTTTTCGTTGGGGCATTCACAATTTGAATGTTTGAGGTCGAATTGGATTAAAATTGATCTATACAAGTAGCATCAGATGTACTAGGAAGGGTAGTGTTAGTAATTGGGCCGGTTTTTCTACAAACTCAGACTTGTGATCCAGCCACATGGGTTAATGGATCTCACTTAAATAAGGATAAAACTCATGTCGGTTATTGGGAGTTAATCATGGAGTCTTCCAATCCTAATCAAAGTCTCCGACTGACACCATAGTACTATCCACACTTTTATGATGATATCGGTCGGGTCTAATTAAGATATCAAAAGTGAAGTGTAGACTTTGAACTCCGTACTTACACTTGAAAATTCTTACTATGATAAAATTAAGACTGTATAATCGTGGCACTCAAGCAATGAACAGAGAGATACATGATCTTATGGCGTCATTGAAAATGTAAATTCAGGAAAAGCAATGTCCCAGAAAATCAAGTTGTCATTACACTCATTGGGCCACACTCTGTGTCAATAATACCCATAAAAGCACTAAATAGGACTGAAAAAATTAAATGGTAGATAGTAGATTCAACTTAATCGAAATTAAGCTTTCATTTGCAAATGCTTTTTTAAAATTAAAAGAAAAGTTGATAATTTTTTATTTTTATTTTTGGTTAAAAGAAAAAGGGTTAATAATTTTTTTAGTGATCGTTGTATCAATTTTATCAATTTAATCATTAAAATATTTAATTCGTGTAATTTTAATTTCAACATAATGTTTATCTGCTAAAATTGCACCCCTGAGGGCATATCCAGCGTTGAGTCAACATTTGAATAAAAAATTGGGTTAATAGTAAATTATAATACAAATGATTACTTGAATTTTAATTTGAACTCTCAAAGATTAAAAATCTCAATTTACACCTTGGAAGATATAAATTTATATCAAAGCGCACCTGAAGCCAACAACCGTTAATTTGTTGTCTAAAACTTGTTGGTTAAGTTACATCTAGTCACTCCTTAAATTTGTTACTTAATCATTTGGACCTCCTCACATTTAGAATATTATTCTCATACCTCCTTATGTTTGTGTAGTGTAACATATAACTTCTTGTCATTGATATCTATTAAAAAATATGATTTTATCATACTAAAAAATTATAATTTTCATACCACCATTTATTTGTGGGCCTATTATATTCTAAAATTTAAAATCAAGCTTACCATTTGAATGCCCAATATGATACAGGTATTTATATTATGTTCTTTATATCTAATGCAATACATCACTTTAACAGAATTTTTTGGATGCCCAATTGAAGGAACTTTTTTAGTCATATTTGGATTCTTTAAGGATATAGGTATAATATTTCAAATATGAGAGGTCTAGGTGATTAAGTGACAACTATGAAGAGATCTAGGTGTAATTTAACAATTTAGTTTTAAACGGTAAAATGACGATGGTTAGTTTCAGGTGTGAATTGATATAGATTTTTATCTTCGAAAGTGCAAATTAAGATAATATTACGAAGTCACACTATGAAGCCTAGTTTATATTACTTATGCATTGTTTTGATAAACTGTATTGATACACTTTAAATTTGTGTAATTCTTAAAACTTAATTTCTATTACTTGTATACTATTTTGATATACTATATTGAAACAATTTAATTTCATAAACCCTATAAACTGGATCAATACAATGTATCAAAACAGTGTAGAAGTAATATAAATTAAGTTTTATAATGTGACTTTGTAGTATTATATGCATGTGTGTGTGTCTATATATATATTACACATATATACATGACCATTTTTTTTTTAATTTTAATACTTTTTAAAGATAAGATAATTAAAATTTCTTAATTTTAGTTGTCAAAAATCATTTTTAGGAAAGTTATTTACAATAAAGGGGTATTCAAGTCTTTCTATGTCTTAAGTGGATTTTTTTATAAATTTTTTTTTTTGTGTATTTTTTGATAATTAAGTCTAATTTTGTGTAATGACTTTTGAATGACCCTTTTTACAACTGCATTTTTTTTTTCTGGTTAATAACACTTTTTGTTGTTAAAGTATGTATTTTTATCAGTTTAATCCCTAAAATATCAATTTTCTTCAAGTATATATAACCCTAAAATTTTTCTTAAGATCCTATTTTGGAAAGTTCTTGATAAATTTTAGAAAATGGTGGACCGCCATGCACTCACGCTTTTAGGCAAAAAAAAAAAAATTAAAAAAAAATAGTTGCACTTTTTTCTATATATTTTGTTTAATATGATATATTTTTGTATTTTTGAAAATCTAGACTATTAGGTTTGTTTCGAAGGAAACAAGAACGATTTTACCGAGAAGGGATGGCCCATGAGGAGAGACACATGATGGAATTTGTTGTCTGCTCCTGTCGTGTATCAAAATTACTAACAAAATGCTTAAAAATCTGATATAATATGCTAAAATAATGATATAATTTTATTGTTATCGTTAAATTAACACCAATTTTTAATGTTTGATGAAACTCACAGTTAATCCAATGACTATAGAGATTTTTTTTTTTTTTTTTAAAGAATCAGAAAAGTATTATTGAACAAATCCAAAATTACTAGAATCAAATGAAATGGCAAATACTGCCAATCCCTTTACAATACAAATCAACAAAAATATGTATAAACCACTGGCCACCTCCTCTTCAATCTGACAGCTTCACCACCCACTGAGGATACGCAAAGAGGAGGAAACCCCAAAACACTTACACAAATCAAATGGAAAGAATTAAACAATTCTTAACTCTCAAAACTGGGAACTTGGATTGGTCCTGCATCATAATTTCCAGGACCACGTAGGCTTCCCCAGCACCATTCATGTTTACTAAAATCTGAGAAACAGATTCAATAAAACACCTTATATGCCCCCAGTCCATATCTCCAAATCAGCTTCAACAAATCCAAAAGAGCCAAACAATCGGCCCTCATGTTTGACCCCACCTCATAAAAATAGGCAGCAGCCAACACCAAATGCCTCTCTGGATTCCTTACCACTACCCCACCTCCAAACATACCAGAGTGGGTTTCCTTTAGAAGATCCATCCACAGTCAGCTTCAAAACCCCATCTGGAGGAGGTATCCAACACACCCACACAGCCTTGGCAATCACACTGTCGGACACCTGCACCTTCAAAGCCTGCAGCATATCCCTACCTCTCAACCCATCTGCTTTCTTAGGCTTTAATCAAAAAGCCTGCAGTCTAAGAGAGGCTAAAATCTGCATATACACAACAGTATGAACTCAACTTAGCCTCCTCCTACATCTCTCCTTCCAAATAAACCAAAAAATCAGCAAAGAAACACCCCTTACCAGTCCATGACTTAATGATTGCTTCTTAAAAATCCTAACCAACCTCTTCATCCTAACCATTGGAGATTCATTAGGAAAAAGAGAAACCGCATGACAGCAGCTAATCTCCTCCAAATATTTTGAGAAAAAGAACAGTCAATGAAAAGATGAGAAGAAGTCTCCATACCTTGACAGCAAAGACTGCACCTGCTCACCAATGGAACACCTAAATTTTGAACACTTGAATCTAATGATAGTGCATTCCTCACAATCTTCCAAGTAACCAGCTGAGAGCTAGGAGACATATTCTGCCTCCATAACAGAAGCAGTATCATTCTCCAACCCCCTATACCTGACCAAGTTCCAAGCTGACTTGACAGAGAGAGAACCAGAATCAGACTTCATCCACACCAGCCTATCTGCATCCTTGGTCAATACAACACCTGATCCCAAAACCTCCTCCCTCAACTCGGGGTTCAATAAATCAGCCACACTTTGAAGCTGCCAACCTGAGCTCAGAGGTAACTCTGAAGCTCTTGGGAAAAACTGGGGAACACCACTAATCCTTTTCAACAAAGGCCCAGAACCAAGCTAGTTATCACACCAAAATCTAACTCTACCCCATCTCCAATAATCTTCTGAGAATGGACCACTACTTCCTTAAACCAAGGGTATAGGTTCCTAAAACTTCTAGAAGTCTTCAACCCTGAGCTTCTTAACAGATGCTGATTACCCAAAAATTTAGCAGAGAATACTTTAGCCCAAAGAGAAGAGCCTTTCAGAATTCCCCAAACCTGCTTCATTCTAAAAGCCTTCTGAATATCCTCCAATCTCCTCAAACCAAGAGCTCCCTTTGACCTAGGCAAACAGATCTCCTTCCAAGAAACCTACTGCCTCCTCTTCACCTCAGCCTTACTGGACCAGAAAAATGAAGATGTTAAAGAATAAACCTTAGAAACAACACCTTTGGAAAGATTCATGCACACAAGCAAATGAACTGGCATTGCATTCAGCACAGACTGAATCAAAACCACTCTTCCCATATTTGATAACAACTTAGCATACCTCCTCAATCATAACCCTAAACTTCTGGAGCAAGTCCTCAAATATAGAAGTCTCATCGTATCTTTAATCAAAGGAAAACCACCGATTCTTTGGTCCAATTGTACTCATTGTCTTATAAAGACTCAAGTCCACCTCCCCCTTCTCCTTCCCCTTTTAAAAAAAAAAATAATCAAAGGACATCCCAAGTAAGTAATAGGACAGCCCTTAAGAGGAATACCTGCAAAAGAGGCCAATATCTGTCTTCTAGCAAAAGAGATCTTAGAAGAACAAATGATAGAACTTTTCCGTTTGCTCACCCTTTGCCCAGAACAACTTTCATAACTACCAATGAACTCCATAGACTTCTTATTGCCTTTTAAAAACAGTAGTGTCATCAGCAAACAACATATAACTCACCACTAATGAACCTCTACCAATGTGAAAGGGCTTCATCAACCAAGCCTCATAAATCCCCTTTAACCCTCTACTCAATACTTCTTCAACCAATCTTTCTCTATTAACAGCTTCTGAAACCAACTAAATAGGAAGAGTCGAAAAATTAACCTCCTGCTCCTTAGAAATTTCCACAACATTAACATTTTGTTCCTTGGATTCTGGAACAATATGCTGAACATCATCCTTTCTTTGGCCCTTCTCCTGCACTGCAGACAGATTCTCAGGAACAAAAAACTGAGCACTTCCCAAATCCACCTCCTTATCCTTTCCTGAATGATCTCCTTTCTCCAACACCAAACCCTCTTTCTGACCCCCTACCTCATGAATACAAGACTCAGTTACCTTAACCTTTCCTTTTTTGAGCCTCTTTCATCACAAGCTTACCCTTGTTCACTTACTTCTCCACCCCCTTACCTTTCTCAGACAAAGGAACAATTACCTCTTCCACTTTCCCATCGATTTCCTTCTTCTTCTAGTTTTGACCCATCGAATCATCATGCCCCTGTTTCAAGCACACAGAGCAATACTTATATTCCTTCTCATAAACAATCCTCTGCCACTGCCACTGCCACCTACCACTTGAGCCCTCCATATCAGGCTAAAATCTCTTGGGGTTATTCGCAAGCAAGTTCACTTCGACACAAGCTCTAGTCACACCTGCCCTAGACAGTCGAAAGGTTGGATTATCGATCACCAAAATACATCCTACTGACCCATAATGTCCCTCAGACCATCTCTGTTGAACAAATCAATGGGTAAACCAGGCAAAGTGGTCCAAATTGGAACAACTGGAGGCCTCCAAGTTGCAATTCTGGGACCCACTGAAGAAACGAAACAAGAAGCCCTCCATATAAGTAGCTTCTTTAAGCCACGTGTTAGCATAGTCTTCGTTACCTCTCGTTGACATATCGATTTAGGTAAATAAATTAGATGAAGTACCAATAGTATTGCTTTTAATTATTAATTGAAGAATGCTATTTGAATTTAATTTGGGGGCCTAATTTAATATAAAACTTATGACAAATTCAACGACTATATTAAATTAGATCTAAATAACATCTTTTCTTAGATTAAATAGATTTACTAGGATTAGTAAATAAGAAAAATGTTATTTTGACCTAATTTCGACATTTAATCTAGTATCTAATTAATTGCACCTATTTCATTAAAAAGAGATTCTATTCAACTTTGAAACTCACAATTAATTTAATAACCATAAAAAAAAATTAATAACCGCAATAAAATAAGTCTGTGATTAAGTGCCAAATTAAGTGTCTATAATATGTATTATATATAATTAATTGTTATATATCAATAATGACATGAAATCACTTTAGGTGGTTGGGGGATTTACCAAAAAGGGATAGGATATGGTATCGTATCGAAAGTTATAACTCTTTAATGTTAAATTATAATTTTTTGAGGTGTACATTACAACTTATGAAGGGTATAATTGATCCTAAGGCATTGCGATTGACACCAAAAGTAATAATTTCAAAGGTTAAGTTACAATTTTTAAATGTCAACTTCCAACTCGTAATGGAGAAGTTACAACTCTTCAAGCCCATGATCGATTAATTATTTTTATTGTTACAAGGGGTAAAATAAAACTGCAAATAGGTCATATACTTATTTGGAATTATTTATGAAAAAAAACAGGACTTAGTGATACTAATAAAGATTTACAAGACCTAATCGTATAAAATAAAGCTTATTTGTTATTTTTCCTAAAATAATTTTTTTATGTAAGTAATCACTTGTATATGTTAAATTCAAATTTTATGCAACTACCAAAATTTGAAAACATAATTTTAAGTTTATGCATTGTCTTTTTCTTAATCATCGAGTAAATTTAAATTTTCTTAATCACATATTACTTTGTAATAATCATATCCAACTGAGAATATTATTAATTTCAATGTTTTTCAATTAAACTTCTAAACTATTTTTTTATTTAAAATTTTTAATTTTGTCCAACAAAACACACAATCTTTAGGAGTGGTCCAGTGGTTGAACCTAACCTTTAATAACTCTCATATTCAATCTCTTCCCACACTCCCTGAGGGGTGGTAAGAGATCTTTAGGCAAGTAGTAAAAATTTTAAAAATACTTTTTTAATTAATCCATGAGTGGCATAAGCCACCAGGTAATTACACAATTTGACTGATTTGGATGGATTGAGTATTTAATCAAATTTAAAATTTTTGAGTATACCTTTTTAATTAATCACATGAGTGGCATAAGCTACCTAGGTAATTACACAATTTGACTGATTTGGATGGATTTTAACCAAATTTAAAATTTTTGAATGAAAGTTTTTTAGAGTGAAAGTTTTTTTTTGAGAGTTTAATTGAGATAAATTAAATACAAGGGATTAATAGAAATAAGTGCTATAGTTCAAGAGCGATAGAGTAATATGGGCAAAAGAAGATTACAGGGAAATTGAGGCCAGTGATCGCGTAGTGTAAGACTGGTCAATAAATGCCTCTTTCGTTCAAGATTGTATGGTTTTGTCTCAAGACTCTGTCCACCACTGCCAGCACAATTGTTCGCTCGGTTGGTGCCTCCGTTGCCGTTTTGATTGCTGTAGGCATCTCTAATTGCGTATTATTTGCATCTATGAGACAGGTTGTGTCTTATTAACATCTCAAACAGATTCAAGACATCAAGGAAATCTCATGATTCTTATTAGATCAAAATATATATTCATGCATAAAATAGAAATCGTGTTGATTTTGACGATAGTGTGCACTCGCGTTGACTTGTTTTAGCTTGTTGGTGTAAATGGGGTAACTCTATATCTATTTTTGTATCTATGAGATTAATTTTTTTTTGAGAATATTGCCAGATTATTGAAAATCTTAAGAGCAAAATGCATAAAATTGAAAGAGAGAAGAGATGAGGAAGAGAATCCTTTTCATTGCTTTTCTTCTGCTGTACATACACACCTATATATACTAATTACAAATGAGCATATCAAACTAATTCATATAAATGCTTTACACATAAGAGAAGCTTTCCTAACTAACTGCCAGCTCCACTTGCCTCCAGATTCTTCTAGTGAGCTCTGTAGGATCCTTCTAGTGTGCTCTATGAGGTCAGGTTGAGTTGGAGAAGGAATAATCAGTGGAAGCAGCTGAACTATTTGCATTTTCTGTAGATTTTAACACCCTGCCCCACAAGATAGAGAGTATATATTGCATACTCCCATCTTGAGAAGCAAAGAGTGAAAAGTTGAAGATGTCAAGGCTTTTGTCATGATGTCTGCAATCTGAGAATGTGAAGCATATAGGCGGTGGAAATCATTTTTTCTTGTATCTTATCTCGAATTAGATGACAATCTAACTCGATGTGCTTTGTTTTCTCATGGAATATAGGATTTGCTGCAATGTGAAGTGCTGATTGATTGTCACAATAAAGAATGGCTGGTGGTTCATGAGGTATAGAAAGGTCATTGAGCAAATGTCTAATCCAAGTGAGTTCACAGCAAGCTGCAGCCATTGATCTATACTCTGCTTCAGCTGAACTTCTTGAGACTGTAGTTTGCTTCTTGGATTTCCATGAGACAAGTGACTGACCAATGGAGACACAATAGCCAATTGTAGATCTCTTGGTATTTGGACATGAAGCCCAGTCAGAATCACAGTAAGCTGTTACCTATAGGGATGTAGTGGATGGGAAGAAAAGACCCTGAGCTGGAGATCTCTTGATGTATTTAAGTATCCTGTTCATAGCATTAAGATGAGGGACACGAGGGGCTGCCATGAATTGGCTCAACAAATTTACTGAATAAGAGATGTCAGGTCTTGTGATGGCTTAGTAGAGTAGTCTTCCAATGGCTCTTCTATACAAAGATGGGTTACTCAGAGTTTCTCCATCATCTTTGGAGAGTCTGTTGTTTTGTTTCATGGGCACCTTAGCAGGCTTGCATCTAATTAAACCAGAATCTGCAAGAATGTCCAGTGCATACTTCCTTTGACAAACCTGTATTCCATGAGAATTTATGGCTACTTCTAAGCCAAGAAAATATTTGAGAGATCCCAAGTCTTTAATCTTGAATTGAGTCCTCAAAAACTCCTTCAATTGTGATATGGCATGATTATCATTGGAAGCAACTATAATATCATCCACATAAACCAATAATGCCATGAAAGAAGTGTCTGTCTTCTTGACAAACAGACTGTAATCTGAATGAGACTGAGTAAACCCATAATTGAGTAAGGATGATGAAAACTTAGCATACCATTGTCTGGATGCTTGCTTAAGTCCATACAAACTTTTCTTTAACTTGCAAACCTTGGTTTCTCCTTTAAGAGAATACCCAAGGGGTGGTTGCATATACACTTCTTCTTCTAGTTCCCCATGTAGAAATGCATTGTTTACATCGAATTGATGCAGAAACCAGCCCTTGACTGCAACCAATGCTAACAAAATTTTGACTGTTCCAAGCTTTACCACCGGAGAGAAGGTCTTATGGTAGTCAAGTCCCTCTTGTTGGGTATAACCCTTTGCCACTAATAGAGCCTTATACCTTTCCACATTCCCATTTGAATTATACTTTACTTTGTACACCCATTTTGAGCCAATAGGATGTTTTCCTTTTGGCAAGTCTGTGAGTTCCCAAATATTGTTATATTCCAAGGCTGCAATTTCACTATCCATGGCTTTACGCCATTCCAGAACTTTGGCAGCTTCTTGATATGTATTAGACTCATGGTGATTTAAGATTGCTGTAGCAAAACTAGCATACTCATGTGAAAGTTTGTTATATGACAAGAATGAAGACAGGGAGTAGAGATGACCTGAGTCCTTGGAGCTTGTTTGAGAAGAGTGAGGTACAATGACTTGGTGACAGTAATAATCTTTCAGATATTCTGGCCTTCTTCTTGTTCTATTTGTCCTATGAAAGGAAGGACTGTTTTGCCTTTCTGTGAAGCTTTCCATGGGAACAGAAATGCAAGGAGAGTTGTTGTCTAATGATGAAGAAGGAGGTTCTTCTGGTTCAGGTTGTGAATCAGTGGATGAATATGCATGATTGTTGGGAACTCTAAAGGTACTGGAACTGGCATAAATGCATCTATTGAGAAGGGTTGAGCAGGTGTGGATGATGAAGAAACATCAAAGAAGTGATGTAGTGAAGAATAATTATGTGGAGACGACTGATCTGTTCTATAAGGAAATTTTTTTTCATGAAATACAACATCCCTTGAATGAAAGATTGAATGAATCTCTAGGTCTATTAACTTGTAACCTTTGACTCCAAAAGGATAGCCTAGGAATACACATTTTCGGGCTCTAGGATGAAGCTTATGTCTACTCTGTCTCAATGTAAAAGCATAACACAGGGAACCAAAAATCTTTAGATGTTTATATGTTGGTTTGGTTTTGAAGAGAAACTGATATGGGGATTGATTTTGCAGGTTGGGTGAAGAGGTTCTGTTTATCAGATAGATTGCAGTTAACACACAGTCA